AGAGATCATCTGGCTCCAGCCCCCACGATGCTCGCGCTCGCAGGGCTAACAGCCTCTTCCGGGAAGTGTTGGCTGTTTTTAATTTGCTGTTATTTTTCTAACTGATGTATTTTTTCCCACTGATTTACTGAAGATGTGTTTTTGGATACGAAGCCCACTTTTGTTCTCAGAATCCTGTGCCAAACAGGGAATTGTGTGCCAATTTCTTTCTTAGCAGGGCAGCTGTAAACTGCACAGCAGCTCAGAGAGATGGGTCTCGTCTGCCTTAAAGTGTGCTTTCATGTGTAAGAAGCAGCTAGGTGTTTGCAGATGGTGTTTTCCATTTAATATTTAAAGGTATTTTTTGCCTCTTGAAGCTTTTAAAGTTTCCCCTAGCATAAAAATGATTTTGTCACCAAAAATGCTGAGTCTGTAATGCAGTTACGTTGCAAACTGAAACACGATTTGGAAGTTCAGGAGCCCACTTTGAGATGTAGCTTGCAATTATGAAGGGAAAACTATTGCAAGCACAAATGAAGCTGTGGGTTTACTGCTTTGGTTCACTTGAAAGTGTAGAAACTGTTCTTTTCTGTCTTGATTTCAGGACACAAAATGTGATGTGCTGTCTGGACAAAAAATGGAAGAAGCTGAACAGCCCAGTGACATAGAGGAAGGAGGATTGGATCTCAGCGTGTCACTCAAACCCGTCAGTTTCTACATCGCAGACAAAAAAGAAATGCTTCAGCAATGTTTCTGTGTTATAGGGGAGAAGAAATTACAGAAGATGCTGCCTGACATTTTAAAGGTACTGAAGTATATTTACCATTTACATACTTCTTGCAGGCATGAACACCTGTGTGACAAAGCATATTTATGTCTCAGCTGGACTTCTAGCTCACAAGCCGTCTATTTCTTAAATAAAAATCATACCAAGTCTCTGAAAGTGAGACTTGATTTGATGTAGATGTGATGTAGTTGTTCCAGCTTACTTCTTTCTCCAGTGCTCAGCATGCTGCTGCACTGGAAGCTGCTTGTTTTTAAACTGTCTGCCTGTACTGATTAGGTAAATGCAAAAACAGTTTCATAACTAAATACATGGAATAAATTCAGTTCAGTTGTTCACAGTTATGCTGATTTGTTAATACAAGTTTGATTTCTGTTTGCATCAGCTGAATAACTTTGATATTAAAATGATGTCCAAGATAAGGCAATAAAAACCTGTCTTGATAAACAGCTGCTGAAGCTGTTACTTCTGTGGACTTTAGTGTTAGTATTGCTGGAGTTTTGCTGGCTTAGAATGTAATGCTTTTTGAGTCTTGTGAGCCACAGGACTTGGAAAAAATAAATTAGGTTAGCAGCCTGTGCAGAAGAAGAGGCTGCAGGTGGAATGTCATTTATGTGGTGTTTGTTAATAGTTTTTAAGTGTGATATTAAACCTTTGTAAGTCATAGAATTGATTAATATAACTAAGGCAGGACTTCTTTGTTTTAAACATGTAGTGAATTTAAACATATAGCGAATTTTATCTCTGTTCTCAGAGCTGTTCCATGGACGAAATCCAAAGGCTTTGCTTGGAGCAGTTGGAACTGTTATCTGAAAAAAAACTGCTGAGGATACTTGAAGGTATGAATGAAACTTTCAGGCACTGCCCTACACCACTACCCTACACTGCCTCTAAAGCGGATTTTCATTCCATTTCTAGCTGCTTATACATATATATGTATATGTACACACACAAGTATGTGTATATATACTGCTATACACATTTATTAGTGTTGTATATGCATGCTAATTCTATATATATATACAGGATGTGTGTATATATGTGCATATACATGCTGATCTTGATCTTTTAAGCTTGAATGAAATTATCCATTGGTTTAGAAGCTATTGAGGACGCATTCAGAAAACGGTAGTGTAAGCTGCTTTTCCTTAGTATCCAAACAAGAACAAAGCTTTTGACTTGGCAGAAAAAAGGAAAGCCAGCAATGTAGAAGTATTGTTTGAAATGGTTTTTTTTGTGTTTTTATTTGGTGTTTGTTTGTGGTTTTTTTTGAGTAAACTGACATTTAAGTTGTGTCTTGATTTTCTGCAGAGGAAACCTGATGTAATGTAGTATCAGCTCATTGTATTAGTAATTGCGCTAGAGTGTTTGGTTAGAGGGTTTGATTAGGGTATTCTCGAATCCTTCTGCTCTGCTGTGGCAGACAGTTCACACATTTGGTGAAGGATATGAAGTTCCAGCTTTTCAGTACCTTACTGAACTTCCAGTTGACATTTAAAGGCTGTAGAATTTATTTGTTAACATACTCCTGTCCTCTCAATTAAGTGGCACTCTGGATCTTGAATGCTGCAGAATCTTCTATTAATTCTGTTTCCTGTGCTTTGCTTTTAAAGCCTATAGTATTGAACTAGCCATAGCTATTCAGTTTTGGGTGTTGTTTTTTTTTGTAGTGCATTGTAACTAAAAAAGGCCGAATGTGTGGCTAGCAGAAAACTCAAGGTTTTGGGTTTTGACTAAGTCTAGTATTAGAACATCTTCTTTAACTGGAGAAAAAAGGAAAAAACCTCTTCTGCTGATTGTTACAACAGAGTTTATCATTAAGAGTTAGCCTTGCTATATAGCATTAATTATATTACCTGCTTAAATTTTCACATTTGGAACTGTGTATACCTAGGCAAGGTTGGAGCTGACTCTGATACTGATGAGGAGGCAGATGGAGGAGTCAGGACTGGAAGTGAATCCGTCAGTCAGTGAGTAAAGACAAAACACTTACAGACCTGGTGGTACTGACAGTAAAGGGATTTTTCATGAAAAGCGATTGTAATGCCTCTGTCTCTCAGACCAAGGTGGCTAGAAGTATTAGAGTCTCCTGACAGCCATTGGACACCTGAAAAGAATAATCTTTGAGAGCATGGGAAAGAAAAATAGATCTGAATGCAATTTTAGGAAGTGCCTTCAGGCTGTTACTGAAAACTAAGTTGTTAAAGTCATGATATTTACATCCATTATACCCTGAACACTGCTGTCCTTTGTGTGGTGCTGCCTTGCTCCAACAGGCAGGATCCTTACATTGATTCCATATTAAGGTGCATGAAACCAATGCCACACCAGCACTGGGGGTGCAAAATTGGGAACTCTAGTGTGAAAATGCAAACTGAACATTGCAACTGAACTCTCCCTGTGATTCTGGGTCTTTTTGCCTTACTTCTTCCTGTATATAAAAGAATATTGTCACAATTTTTATAACTAGTACAAATGGAATATGTGAAGGACATGAGTATTTCACGGCAGTATCTCTTCCTTATGCCCTGTGTGAAGCAGTTGAAACCTTACACATGAAGGGTAGAAATGTTTAACTAGAAGAAGCAGAGACATTCAGATACCAAATTCAATTTAACAGCTGCGTTACATTTCCTTTTAAAAAGTGGCCATTTGTGAAACTGAAATTGTGATGTGGGAGAGATGGGCAGTGGTGGGGTGAGGGTAACTTCATGAAAACAGCTTCTTAATTTTAAGAGAAAACTAAATCATGTTTGCATGCAGCTGAAACAATATTTTTTTTTCAAATCATTTAGCTGTATGACAATTTATTCTGGGAGAAGCTTCTAATATTCGGGAGGGGCTCCTAGTGAGGATTGTTATTCTCAAATGTTCGGGTGCGTGGAAATAGTTTCTCCATCTTTGTGTATCACTGGGCAAAGCAAAAAAGGGCTTATCCTCAAGTGATGAGGTTAGCCCTCTGGATGTTCTTTTTACCTTTGTTCATACTGGCATGTTGGCCTGCCACTGCGTAATTTCTTTAGTTAGGGTGAATGTGTCTTAGAGAATTTATCTTAAATTGTAAAAGACATAGATTTAAGTGCCTTCTTATTTGTTTCTAGACAGGACAACAGTATAGACTCTACTTCTTCTCTCAAAGAAGACAACAAGGTGGAAGGTCAGGAATCAAAACAAGGTATGTAGTGGTGTGGTTATGTGGCCCTGGCTGGAGGCCAAGAGCTCAACAAAGCTGATCTATCCCTCCCCTTTTTTAGATGGACAGGGGAGAGGGAAGATGTAACAAGAGGCCCATAGGTTAAGATAAAAAGCAGTTTAATGCATCAAGAGCAAATGCCACGCCCGGAAGCAAAGTAAAACAAAGGTTATTCTCTACTTCCCATCAGCGGGCGATGTCTGTCCGCTTTCCCAGGAAGCAGGGCTCCAGTAGGTGTAGTGGTTGCAAATGCCCCCCAACTTCTCTCTTCCTTCTTACTTTTATATCTGAGCTGACGTCATATGGTACAGAATACCCCTTTGGTCTGTTTGGGTCAGCTGGCCCGGCTGTGTCCCCTCCCAAGATGTTGCCCACCCCCAGCCTGCTGTTGGGGGAATGTTGGAAAACCACAGCCTCGGTGCTGTGTGAGCACTGCTCCGCATAGCCAGAACACTGGGGTGCTATCAACACCCTTCTAGCTACCACTCCAAAAAACACAGCACCGAGAGAGCTGCTGTGGGAAGATGAACTCCACCTCAGTCTGACCCAGTACAAGTGGAGAAAGCTGAAATTTCTTGATGCTGTGCAGGGACTGGCAGGTAACTGGCAGCTCTCCTGTGAACAGCAGCTGCAATCACACAGAAACGTCATCTGAGAAATCTACTGATGCAGGAGCTGTTTTGTGAGATGAAACAAAAAGTGGTTCTGTTGGGCAACTGTGTGACTGTTTCACTCGTGTTACAGGCAAGGGAGAAGACAGTGATGTGCTCAGCATCAATGCAGACGCGTATGACAGTGACATAGAGGGCACAGGCAATGAGGAAGACGGCGCAGATGTGCAAGAACACCTGGCCAGAGGTGGAGCTGGTCAGATAGACGACCTTCAGAAGGACATTGAGAAAAGTGTGAATGAGATTCTGGGGCTGGCAGAGTCCAGCCCGGAGGAACCAAAAGCAGCAGCCTTGACCGTTCCTCCGTCAGAGGACGTTCAGCCCTCGGCACAGCAGCTGGAACTTCTGGAGCTGGAGATGAGGGCCAGAGCTATTAAGGCTCTGATGAAAGCCGGTGATGTCAAAAAACAGCCCTGACATTGTTTAGGTTTAATGTTCAGTGTTTGCTGAAACAACTGTTGTGTCTGTTCTCCTCATTGCTGAGTGCGTGTGGCTTGGGGATGATTCCTCATACAAATCCTGTTCTGTATCCTGGCCCATGGCTGAGGCTGTTGATGGGTCTTTCATTGCTTTCCGTGTGCTGCTTCCATGACGTGCACAGGATGTTTTGGTGCGTCATGCACGGGATGGTTTGGTGCTTCGCTGAGGTCAGGTCTCTCTGTGGTGAGTTACCTCCTCAAGGTGTCACACAGTGCATGGAGCTGTGCCAGGAACCTGGTCCTGCCCAGAAAGGTTGGCAGAATCAAGTTCTTTAAAAGCCCATGGTTAGAAATTATAGAATGATTGAGTTTCAAAGGGACTTTAAAGGTCATCTGGTTCCAGCCCTCTGATGAGATTCACTGGAGTTCCAGTGCCAGTGTGCTGCAAGTGCACGTCACGGGCTTACGCTGATTTTCACTGACCAACGCCTCTCATTCCTTCTCCCCAGGGCTGCTCTCCATCCACTCGTTGCTCAGCCTGTATCTCTGCTTGAGATTGCCCCAACCCAGGTGCAGGACCTTGCACTTGGCCTTGCTGGACCTCATGGCTTCCACACAAGGCCACCTCTCCAGCTTGTCCAGGTCCCTGTTAGCGGCATCCCTTCCCTCCAGCCTGACGAGGGCACCGCACAGCTCGCTGGTGTCAGCAGAGTTGCTGAGGGTGCACTGTGCATGCTGCCAACAAAGACACTGAACAGCAGCTTATTAGCTCTTACCAGCTATTTTATTTATTAGCAACTTGTTAAACTACTCAGAAAACTTGGTTTATGTGTGCTACATCACAAGTACCATTTTGAAGAGGCCTCTTATTTCTCCTCATCATAATGGAGCTATTCTAGTTAAAATGAATAGTTGACTTAAAAGCAGACTTTAATTCTTGGAAGTTGAATTCCTAAAGAGAAGGAGGTTTTCGTTTCAAATAAACAGCTGAACAATGTTATTTTCAGAGTTAAGAAAGTGCCTGGAAGTAACAAATACCAGAGTTTTTATACTGTCAGACATGGAGTTTTGTCAGTCTTTTCAGCTGTCCATATTTTGTGTTGTAACTGAAATCAATAAAACAGACTTTTTATTGACTGTGAAGCGTTTCTGCTGAATATTTAGCATAACATTTAGGGCAATTCATGTCACACTATGTACAAGACCTTGAGTTTTAACACTTAACTCATGTAGTCGTTTCATGTCTGCTGTAAATGTATAAATGTTTTTTAGAAAAGGCAATTTATTTATTATATAAAAATATTCTATTTTATACATTTCAAGGGTATTTGTAAGTAAATTATTTTATATCTTTTATGTGGGTCCCAGCCCCGCATCTACGGATCCCAGCCCCCATCTATGGGTCCCAGCTCCACATCTGTGGGTCCCAACCCCCATCTCTGGGTCCCAGCCCCCTATCTATGATCAGGTCGACAGAGATGATTCTGCCCCTCCTCTCTGCCCTTGTGAGACCCCACCTGGAATACTGAGTCCAGCTCTGGAGCCCCCAACACAAGAAAGCCACGGAGATGTTGGAGCGATTCCAGAGGAGGGCTACCGAGATGGTCAGAGGGCTGGAACATCTCTCCTACAAGTAGAGGCTGAGAGAGTTGGGCCTGTTCAGCCTGGAGAAGAGGGGGCTCTGGGGAGACCTTATAGCGGCCTTCCAGTGCCTGAAGGGGACCTGCAAGAAGGCGGGAGAGGGACTTTTTGCAAGGGCCTGTAGTGACAGGATGAGGGGTACTGGTAGAAGCTGGAAGGGTGTGGGTTTGGACTAGATACAAGGAAGAAATTCTTTATCCTGAGGGTGGTGAGACACTGGAACAGGTTGTCCAGAGAAGCTGTGGATGCTCCATCCCTGGCAGTGTTCAAGGCCAGGCTGCATGGAGCATTGAGAAACCTGATCTAGTGGGAGATGTCCCTCCTGTGGCAGAGATTTGGAACTAGATGATCTTCAAGGTCCCTTCCAACCCAAATCGTTCTACGATCCTCTGATAATTTTTGTGTAATGGTAAACCTGGTGGAGCACTTTGTTAACAAAGCTACGGAATGTAGTGATGATGTTAAAACAGAGAAAGATAAGCCCTTTGCTCCTGCAAATCCTTTCTCAGACTTAAGGAAGGATTTGCTAGATCTAAAAAAACTAGAAAGTGTGGAGGAAACCTAGAATAGCCTGACCATTTCAGTGACCCACATATTATAGCTACAAGCCCTGGACAAATACCCGTAGATTTTCTAATCGGTACTGGAGCTCAAATAAGTGTGATCACTAAAACAAACAAACAAAAAATCAGCAAAAAATATTAGGATTAGTCCCACCCAAGAAAAAATAAATGAAATAGGATTGACCGGAGCCACTGAAATCAAACTGGTTGATATGATGTGGTTCTGGCTTCCAGGAGAGTACTGAACATCTAAGACAAGGGTAGTCACCAGTTCTTATAACATTTTGGGATATGTTGTATGAGCAAAGAAAGTCTGAAGATGGCCAGACAGGAAAGTGTGAAGATTTAGAGCGCCCATGTAATGTTCAGTTACTGGAAACAGCCATTAAACTGCAGCTTTCCTAGATCACGAATGTTAATCAATATCAGGACATACTCACTAATTATCCCGTATGACCAGAATGTAAAACGGACAGTAGGTGGCGACTCACAATTGGCTGTTGGAGACACTTGGAGCTGCTGTTTCCAACATTGAGGACTCAGGTTCAAACCAAACATCGTACCTGGATGTCCACACTAAATGTTAAGGGTGTGTTTTTTATGATTCCTTTTCATGGGGAAGATAAACTTCAGTGTGCATTCACGCGGGAGGGAGTGCAACATGCCCTTAGTTAGCTCCTACAAGGATACAGACATGCCCCTGCTACTGCACGTAACTCATTAGCAAAAATATAAAAGGAGATAAAAGCTCCAGATAAGCTAAGCATGCGCCAATGCATTGATGTCTTAATAGGTGGAGGTAATGGAGAGGCAGTCAGCAAAGTGTATAGTCAGGTTTGGGACACACTGACCTCATTGGAATTAGAAATCCCTCCTGCTAAACATCAGGGACCAAGTCAAGAAGTTAAATTTTTAGGAGTCTGGCAGCCACAAAGACCTGTGGCTATGCTCCTGACAACTGAGCTCCTGAAATGCAAAAGACAGTATTTAGGGAGGAGACATTGTTTTATTCTGTGCAGGGTGCTCGGTGGAAACTTTCACAGATCAAGCACACCACTACAAACAATGGCACCGATTTTTATCGAGTAAAAGTAAAGCAAACTCCACCTATCTCCTACATAAAACAAACCTGTCTAATGCTTGTGGACAAGCTTACATCAGGGTGACACCGCAATCTCTTTGGCCTCACTGTCCACACTCCAGAACATTCGTGGTCTTCAGGTGCCTTTGGTGTTTGTTTCAGGTAGTACTCCGGACCCAGTTTCAATGAAAGAACATAGTCCGTGTGAGCTACTGTAGAAGAGGTTTTTTTCTTGATAAGGAGAAGATTCATTTGGCTGCCATCTGGTGACAGGTCAAGATAATCCTGTCAAGCATTTCTTTTGACATAAGATTCTTTAACATAAGATTCTTTAACATAAGATTATTGCAAGTGAGAAGGCATTGCCTGTATGTACTGCAAAGGGAGTCTGTAACAGATCATAATGTAAACAGACTATATACTAAACAGATCCTATGAAAATTGAGCAGAGATTCTGTGAACATGGTTCCCATTGTAATTTGTATCAGAAGGCCCTGATAGGCCCTTGGAATTCTCATTCATTCAACAATACTGAGCCGAGATATACTTGTTGGGACCCCCAGCACCCCCAGCAGTAGCTCTAGAGGTAAAACCAGGATGAACTGGGATTGCAAAAGGGGAAGGTAGTGCCTAAATAGGGGAGCTGTGTTGTTAGCTGTGAAACATGGGGCTCAAACTATATATACTGACTCCTATGCAGTGTTCAAAGAGGCAACAGAATAGATATGACATTGGAAAACTGATGATTGGCAAGTCAGTTGGGTCCCAGCTCAGAGAACGGAAGACTCGAAGCAGCTGTTGGAAGAGGGAAAGGAAAAGACACTACAAATGGCTTGGGTAAAGGTACACAGTAAAACCATAACTGAGGTTTGCCCACTGAAATAATAAAGCTGACCACCTCGCTCACATGCGGACGTCAGAAGCAGGCGAGAATACGGATGCACACAAGTGGGAAAGATGTAAGGGAATGGCTGCATGAGAGGTGTAGCCGCACTGGGCAAGATGACCTGTGTAAGGAATGTCAAGCTAGAGGGTGGCCAGCTGCACTGGCTGACTGCGAGAGGACACTCACACACTGTCCACAGTGTCACCCACGATTACAAATAAATCATCCAAATCAAGCCCCACCTTTACATATTGGGACAGGGAAAACACTCTAGCAAACTTGACAAATTGATTATATTGGACCATTTAACAGTCCTACTCGGTGCATCCTAGTTGATGTAGATGTAGTGTCTCGATTTACCCAAGATACTGCAACCATGACAGAGCCTGGAGAATGAAGTATTCAAGTGCTAAAGGAATGTTTTGGTACTTCATGCCTTCTGCCATCCGAAGTGATAATGGTTCATATTTCACAGCAGCCATCATCCAGGAATGGGCAAAGGAAGAAGGTATTGACTGGGTCTTCCATACTCCTCATTACTCCCAGGCAAATGGAATAGTAGAATGGATTAATGCATTAATTAAAAGATTTGAATAAGTCCATGCATCAAATTGGAAACAGAGACTATCTGAAGTAGAATAGACTGTTAATAACAGATGAGGTGCAAATGGAAATGCAAAGATAAGAGCATTTTGCCCTATCAGAGATTTAATCTACAAGGAACCACATAAACCTGACGAACTCCTTGTACAATTGCATTCTTGTCAGGCAGTAATGGTCAAATTACCTCAAATTGGGGTTGTGCCCCTGATATTGACTAATCCAAGGGGATTGTA